AGCAATAACAAAACCCTGGGATTTTTACAAGATAGCTCTGTGCCAGGCTCTGCAGAAGACAGACTCTGAAAGACTCAGGTTTTCATGGAAGAGGAAAGCATTAAAGACACGATCACAAGGTTGTGTGAAAAGCACAGCATGTGTGAAGTCCAGGGTGGCACAAACACAAGTACAACCAACTCTTCCTAGGACAGGATTTATCAAAGGGATCTGCTGTTGGACTGGACAGGCAAGGTGGTAAAGATCCTCATGGGCCATGCCAAGACAGAAGATGGAATTTTTTGGGGAGGCTAGGAGAGGGGTGACACAGTTTCTATGCATACTTCAGGCAGTGCCTTCAAGGCCATGTGAGGACTGCAGCAGGGGTGCAGCTTAGGAGGCTGAGGCACAGTGCAGTTTTGCAGCTGGCACCAAGGCTGAAGCAGAGCTGATGGAAAGGAGGGACTCAGCAGTGTTGGGAGGTGGAAGGAAGAGGCTCTGGGATGGCACGTGGAGCCAGGTTCTGGATGGACAGCAGCACTGCTTGCTGAGATGGGGGGTGGAGGTGTACGGTTTGGTGGGGAGTGTATGTTCTCTCTGCAGGCCAGCACTTGAGGTACCTGGGAAACACAGAACACCTGCTGGAGGTGGTTGGGGGCAATGGGTGAATTGAAGGGTGCATCACTTTCAACCTAAATGGAACAAAAAGGGTTTATAAGGGCACTCAGAGCCAAGGGTGCTGAGAAGGTATGTGCTGGCTAAGTGCCTTCTCCTGTGCAGCGTGCGATGGGTACTAAATGACCAGCTCATGCCTGAAAAGTGAGAACTCTCCAGGTAAGTAGCGGTCACATTCTAAGGGCTGGTCCTACAGTGGTATCTGAAGCTCTCTGGACAGTCCTCTGAAAGCCACAGTGGTGCTTGGGACTCTGGTTTAACTGGCTTTTTAAACTTCACGTTATACGATGTCAAAGGTCTTTGCTCAAATGAGAGAAGAATAGAGGCACCTCTCAATACATAATTTTTTAGAGTTTGATAGACTGGAAAGCAGATAAGAAAGCACTTAGTGGCTTGGCCATCTGATTAAACGCAGGGAGCAGAGCAGTTTCTGTGGGGGCGCTACCTCTGCAGACTTCCCAAGAGGAGGGGCTCACGGCAAGTTGTTCTGGCTGGGGGAGTGGCCAGGCCGTGCTGGGGAGGACTGCTTTCTGATCTCATCTGTAGCCATTCCCCATCCCAGGAGAGAAAAGCAGGGGGAACCTCGAAGGGGTCTACCTGTCTTCTCATCCCTGCCCTGGGGGAAGCTGGGGCCTCTCCTGGGGTGTGGAAAGGAAGTAGGGTCTGGCAGGAAGCTTCTCCACCCTTGCAGCTCCCCACTAGGCCCAAAGCTCCTCCTTGCTGGGCCTATAGGCTGTATCGTCACAGTACACTCATCCTGTATGAAGTAATGAGGTAACTCAGTCTTTTAAATTCTGAGGCAATGTTTTAGCAACCATTTGGTCTCAGGTCTAACGCAATATTCTTCTTTTAGTCTTAATTTAAAAGGCTGGCTTTTTAATCTCATCTGACGGTCTCTTGGACCTTATTGCTCAATTGATTCTAAACACGAGAAGGGGAAAATAATTACTTAAATCCTCTTTAAACATTTTCCAAGGTAGAAATAGGCATTCTCAAGCTATCTGACAGCCGTGAACTCTTCAAAGAAATTATAAATGATAAAGATGCAGAGGCCAACTAAGAATCCACTTTGCTCCTCTCAAGCCAAGTGGTGTAACTTATGTTTGCTTTAGCAAACAAATGACCTGCTAGTAAGTTCTGTTGGTTGACAAAGTAACTTTTAATATATGTAGAGTGGTCCTGGGAGTGAAGCAGTTGCCTCTTTGGGGCCCTCAGTGTGCTGGCCTCACCTCTCTCCTCACCCTTCATACTCTGGGTTGGGACTACTGATGTGATGGTTTGTCTCCACCATTTACACCCTACCATGTGGAGACTGAAGACTTATGTATCTTACACATGGTATGCGGATGATTAGATACCTAACTGAATGGAGGGACTGTCTTGTCTTCAAAGGAGAAACTCCAGTGAGGTCCTGAGGCAGAGGACAAGAGAGTGCCTTCTCTCCTGTCAGGGGCCACTCTGACACAAGCCCCCTTCCTGTCACCCAATGGGATGTCACCATGGAGCTGCCCTGGCTAGCTGCATGGGCACCATCTTTGTAAGGTAGAGATTAATACAACCATCTCAATAGTGAGCATCCCCAGTGGGGTTCTTAATGAAACCCATAGAAATGCAAATCCATAGTAAAGATTTTTCTGACGTTAGTGCGTAGGATCTGATAGGTGAATTATTTTGCTGGGACACATCACCTTCAACAGACATACTGCACAGCTGAAGTCCCTTTTGGTATAGGAGCTGGTGTGGGCTCGAGTCAGACAGTCTGCTGTCTATGCTGGTGACACAATCTTGGGCAGCTCTTTTTAGTTCCCTGAGCTCCAGCTCTGAGTCCATAAAATGGGGCTAATGATCCTTTCTTCATAGGGCTATGGCTGAGAAGACACAAGATATTAGGGGATCCATTTGTTTTTTTCTAAAAAGATAATGTATACCACCGGGGCTACATGATTGGTTTCAGTTATCTATGGATGAGCACAACATTTTCTTACATGTTTAGAAAAAATGTGAACTAATACATTAAACTTATGATATACCTAATCACTTAAGATGAGGCTAAAGTAGGTATGGGAGTCAGATTTGAGTCTGTTTAAAGGCAAATATCAAATAACAAAAAACAGTACAGATGGCAGGAGAGTGTGGCAAAAATGTCTGAACTGGAACCCAAAGGCCTGTCCTTTCGGTAGAATATCAGAGTCCCTAAAACCCTCGACTGCCAGTAGCTCTGCATGCTGTGGTCAATGGACCATCAAACCAGGCTCTGGGGAAACACTGAAGGATAGCCGACCACCAGGGAAAGCTGGAAAGAGTTAAAAGAAAGGGGTCTGTGGTTTCCTGGCCCATCCCCCAGCAGCTAATCTGTCACCTAATGAAGAAGGGGCCGGGACAAGTGAGCTAGCTGGCAGTTCACTTACAGCAAACTGATTAAGAGTGTTCAACCAACAGCAGACTGTAGACCTTTCCAGAGAAAATAAATAGAGTGTAGACTGTATGCAAATGTGTTTGTCACTTTGACAGCATGTCTCAATTAAGGCATCTAGTGGCTGTGGGTAGGCTCTGCGGCTGCAGCTGGAAGGGAGAGAGCCCGCTGCATGGCTGATACTAGGGGCTTGACCTTAATCCACATGCATGCATTAAAAAAAATCCTGCCTTCCTGTATGTACACTTGCATAATGCTGGCAGCCACGTGAGGGAAGTGACAAACGGGGGAAAAAAAGCCACTTTCATCCTCTCCAGTTTGCAGACCTGTGAAGGCACAGACAGCTCTTATTTCAACAGAGTTTGGGGTGGCTTTTTAATTGTTTATCCCCCACCCGTGTTCATGCACACACTCTTATTCTGCATTTAGCTGGGAATGACATTAAAGCACCTCTACTTCTTGCTGAAATGGAAAAGAAAGTCTTTCTCCATTTCAAATAGGGCCTCCTTTTTTTGTGCTTCGAAAATGGAATGTTTAACACCATGAAATCCCTCTCCCCCCGCCCCCTCTTTCTCTGTAATGGGCTCCAAACTCCAGCGAGGGGCTCCTTTCATGGCAGGTTAGTGTGTGCAGGAATGAGGACAAAGGAAAGCAGGAAGCTGACTCTGGAATGCCATGATGGTGACAACCAGGGGCTGCGCTTTCAGAAAACACAGCCGGGAAACTAGGGTGCAGAATTTTCCAACAGGGCCTAGCTGGGAGCAGGCAGCTCTTCAGGGGGGACCAACACAACTGCAATTTGAAGATAATCATTAACCGAATGAACACTTCTTTTGCTCTTACTACGTTTCAATTTTTATAAAATCCTTTAGGGCACAGAAGCAGAAAAGGGGGTAGGTAAATTACCCTAAGTTAAAAGAGGTAGGGATGTATTATTCAAAAAGATTGATTAGAGAAAAATGATTATGTTTCAACCAATTCATATCTTAAAGTAATAACCATAGCAATAATTTCATTAGTTCCCTTCACTGCCAAATCACTCAATGTCTGATGCATAGTATGCACTTGATAAACATCTGTCGAAAACAGGGATGTTTTAAATGTACAATTTTAGGTCATTTGCGTGGTAAAATTAACAATCACATTTAAGGTAAAAATCATACAAAGACTAGTTTAATCATGCCACAGCTAATAAACGTCTAATGAATCAAGTGATTTAAAAATAAATAACCTTGCAGATTCTATTTACAGCCATATTTTGCTAACAGAGCCATTTCTCAAAAAAATAAAAATGACTTTTGCTTACCAAAGGAGTCAATTCAAGAGATGTAGGGAAAGGTAATAATATTTTTCAACCAAAAATGTAACTATGGATAGGAAATGGATAAAAAATTTTTTATTTCTATATGGAGTACTAAGATAAATTGTCAAATGTTCGTTCAGGTTATTGAAAATAGCTGGGTAAAGAACTGGATCTCCAGAATTGTAGCGAGGGTGTTTACTCTGAGAAGCATGACTCCCAATATTGATTTTCAGGAAGTACATTAATAAAGAACTCCTAATTGATTTTTTAAGGCTTTGCTTGTTGCCTTTTATTTGACGGTGCAAAGAAGGGCCTGGGATGCTAAAGCGTTCTAATGAGATGCTTAGCTAACAGGAACCTTAAACACAGTGCTTGGGAGTAGGGGAGGCAGCAGCTGCATTTAATGATTTTATTCAGTCTCGGAGCTAGTTGATGACCAGAGCCATGCTGTCTCCCCTAAATTTTTGAATATTCACCTTCAAAACATGTCTGTACCACATAAACATTTCAAGTGAAAAACTCTGCAGAACTGTTTTGCCAAGGAGAGCTGAAATGAGAAACTGTCTGTGGCATGTGCTACAAACCAAACCAAAAAATGAAACAGACTCATAAAAGGGTCAGGGTTCATACCTGCCCAAAGTGGACGGTGATTGGCCTCCGGTCCTCTCGGAGCTTGGGGTCCTTGGCCTCCACCAGTGGTGATGGTGCAGTCTTTGGCAGTGGCTCTTCTGCAGTGGGGACACAGCCGTTTTCTGCAAAGTCCTGCAAGGAGGAATATGGTCTGGGGTTGGTGTTTGGGCCCTGCACCTATGCTCCCTCACATCCTACAGCTAAACCTACTGAGAAACTCCCTGGGGTTGGGGGTGGGGTCCTCAGCCTAGCCTCCTGGAGAGAGGGAGGAAATGGAAAGCTAACTTGACGCTTTGACTTTTAAGGACTAGAGTAACCAAAATCACCTACATTAAATTATAAAGATAATATAATTCACAGTAGTGAAAAATTCATGTTTTATCCTATCTTACACATCTATTTTCATTTTTACATATTCACTTTATTTACATGCAGACATTTAAAAATTACTTGCAATCACAGCTCATTCTTAATTTTGTGTCCTATTTTCCCTATTACATTACAAGTATCACCACGGTGCTACATAGCCATTATAATAATTTTAATGAATACATATTTCATTGAGCAGATATACAATAATTTAATAAGCCATTATTTGTTCCTAATTTTTTAAAAATTTTCTACCAGTGATAAATATCACAGTTTTCCTTTTGTATTATTTCTTCTATGGGAAGACCCAGGAATGAAATTATTAGGTCAAAAAATACAAACATTTTAAAGACTTTTTATTCATTCTACCAAATTGCTTTCCAATTTACACCAACTACCAACAATGGATGCATTATCAGCTTCACAGTACTTGTTAGCCTTATCATTTTAAAAATGTATTGCTAATTTAATAGGTGAAAAATTGGACCTCATTGTTGTTTTAATTTGCATCACTTTGATTATCTGTGAATGTGGAAGTTGATTTACTTATGATGTTATGGTTTGTGAATGATGTTACTGTTTGTGAATGTGATGTGTCCCTGTTCCTCTTTTCTATCCTCAGTCTTTCAGGAAGAGAATAAAGAGACTGAATTCTGTTAGGACCCCTTTTAGGGGACATTTAGGGAAGCAAAGAAATATTTTTAAATCTAGAAATTTACATTCCATTTGTACTTTTAATGAATGAAGTCAAAGTCTCAGGAAAAGAATAACTGCAGTGTGCAAAAGGCAGGCAACGGGTCCTCTGGCAAACACTGGCGTAACAAACATGGGCTAAGTGGATCACAGATGTGGCCCACTTGGGTAACAGGCATTACATGTTTCACTCAGGTCAAGAAAGTTGCTTAAAAGTTCACAGTAAGGCAGAGAATAAGTGTACAAAGAAATCACATTTAAATACTTTATTTTACCAAGTAAAAACAACTCATAGCCTGAATTAAATAGTAAAGATATTTTCCAATTCTTCTCATTGAAAAAACAAACACACACACTTTGATAAACAGAACATACTCCCTTAATACTCATTAAACTCTGCACATCAGAGACTTTTGATAATTGGTTGCTCTTAACTTCTTGGCTGAATAACCTGAATGGTAGGCCATGGGGAAAAGCAATTGGTCATGCAATAATTGTGTATTAAGGAGGAAACATATATAATGTTTTTGAGCCTCAGTTACTTCATTTGTAAAATGGGATTTGGTAGCTACTCAAGAAACTATAGCAATTGTACATTATCCACCCCCACTGCCCGGTATACATTTACTTGATCTCATACATCCCACTGCCTATTTCCTGGGTTCCATTTTTAAGGAAGAGGCTGCTTGTAGAGGCCAGCTCTGAGGCACCTCTGTTGCTTAGTAAAGAGCACAGGGAGCTGGTGATCTCTTGGCTTTACAGGGAGGGCTTAGATGAAGTGGACTACAAAGGACTGGCAGTCTCAGCCAGGCTAAGGTCTGTGATAAAGAGGCAGCTGACAGCCAATTAAAAATGTCTCATTTGGAAAAGGCCTGCCCTAAGGTGCTCAGGTCAAGTGCAAAAAAGTGTGTGTGTATGTGTGTGTGCCAGAAAGCAACAAAGGGCAAAGAAGGAATTTTGGATCCAGGTAGGGGTACTTAGAGGATGAACACAGAGGCTGAACAAGGTCAAATAGTAACAAATTCCTGACTGGTCCAGGATATGCTTCCAATTTGGTTTCGATCTGAATCATGGAAAGAATGAAGTTCGTGAACTAAGGCACAACTGTATTGTGCTTCCATGTATATGTGTATGGCTGAAAAAATGGATCTGCAAAGTAATATGGTACAAGAAGATGCAAACGGAAAAATTCTAATATGATAGTTATTAAAAAAATGCATGTGGGAAAGTGTTATAGTTTAAACTTATAAATAAAAAATGTCTTCTAGTTTTGTTTTTACCATTAACTAGCTGTCTGATCTTTCAGATTTATTCAATCTCTCTGCAACTCTTTCTTCATTTTTACAATGGGGACATGATCACCTGATGGGAAAATATCAAAGCTACTGGGAGAATGAGTTAAATGAGATAAGACACGAGGAAGCTTTGAAAAATGCTCCACGACTGTGCAAACTGAATCCAAGATCCTTACCCACTGCAAAGGACAGAGAGCTACCCTGTTTGAGCAGGTCCTTTTGCCTGGTGGGTACTTTTCCAGATCCTTAGTCTTCATTTTCACATAGTTCCCACAATGATCACAAAGTAAGCAGGATTATCTCTTTTATAGGTGAGGAAATAGGGCTCACCAAGGCCATAAAGCCAGAAAGTGGAAAAACCAGAGCCACTACTCCTCAACCCATAAAAAGAGCACAAATGTAGGTATCCTGGACAGAAGAGTGATCAGTGCACAAGCAGAAGTGAACTCTCCTTTTCCGCAACCCTTCTCATCAGACACTGCTATGCCCCGTGCTAGTGATCAGGGTATCCCTGTGGACTGCAAGTCCCATAGGGCCTGGATTCCTTTGAATCTAGCACATGTTCTCCGACAAATCTTTGTAAAATTGAACCGAACATTTGGAAGGTAAATGTGTTCAAAATACAAGTGTCTGATTATCAAAAAGCAGTGCTGTACATTCATTTAGAAGATCTAGAGGCACACAAGCTTCCTTACAAAGTCTTGTGGGTCACCCCACTCACTCTCACGTTTTCATTCTTTTTCCCACCTGGGAAAGGACTATTGCTACCTCCTAGGAAGCCACAGGGAGCAGAGGAGGAGGAGCCCAGCTCAAGAACAAAACAGTCACAATTACATCCCCTATTGTATCTGCTAGCGGAGATCATACACACAGAAGGGAGCCCATGAAGCAGCTTTGGATACCTATGATTACAGAAAATTATGGCTTAGAATTAACAGAGTTGTCAGTGGAGGGGTTGGACAGCAGGTTCTCATACCTTGCTGCTAGGAATGTAAATAGGTAATTTATGTGAAAAACCTAGAAGATGTACATGCCCTTTGGCTCACTATTTCTAGAAACTTATCCTACTGAAAGGGTAAGAGTTGTTGCAAAGTTTTACCTATGAGGATATCTGCCTAGAAAAATTGGAACTTAAGTGTCCAAAATGGGATTCAATAATGTATTTATGCCAAGCAGACACAATTTTATGTAGTCATTTAAAAAATTGACATGGAAGAAACATTTAGTGGCCTGGGATATATTCAGAATATACTAACGGAGAATGCAAGTTATAAGAAATGACTATTTTCCTTTTTGCTTCTCTGACTTGTTGAATTTTTCCCAATAAACAAGTATTTTGTTTGCAAACAAGAGAAAACTGTCCTTCTGAATGTCATTTTTAAAAAGCAAGAACAGGAGGCTGATGGGAAGGGTATTCCATGCTGGAGGGTCACACAGAAGGAAGACACCAGACAGAGCTCAGATCAGAGGCCACTGCGGGGTGGCAGATTTGTTGCAGGAGCCCAAAGGCTCACAGCACTGGGGCTCTACCAGACTCCATCCCTTAGCACAGCAAAGGCAGCAGACAGTAATTCCATTCCTGTCACTTTCCCTGAGCGTTTTCTGGAATCAGAAATCCCGACTGAGCCAACCTCTTACCTCTCTGTGGAGAAGATGGGCATGGCATACTGTATGTCCTTGGACAGGAGACTGAGCCATCAAGGAGGGAGAAACCCAGGGTCTCAGGAGCCAGAGGACAAAGAGGGCTACGAGTGGCCTTGGAGACACTCAGGCAGAGACAAGAGAGGTAGCATCTTGGACCAGAGGAACGACAGGGCCTGCATGAAGGATGAGGGGGCACCCTTCCTGCTGGGTGAGGAGGTGGGAGGTTGGCAATGGTGCAAAGTCTTAGCCACAGTTGGCTTGGTCAGACCTGTGTGCTAGAGAAATTCCTCTGGTGGTCACGTGGTCAACCTAAAGGGAGGTGGCCCATGCCAGCCACTTCTCAGGGGAGGGCAGACAACCTGCTCCAAGTGTGTGATATAAGAAAATGTCCAACTGGGCAGGGTGATGCCTGTAATCCTAGCACTGGGGAGGCTGACAGGAGGGTGCTGAGAGATCAAAGCCAGCCTGGGCTACATAAACATAATGAGTTCAAAGCCAACCTGGACTACGTAGTAAGATTGTCTCAACAAACAAAAACAAATCAAAACAAAACAATAACAACAAAAAAGAAAATGGACAGAATAGAAGCTCTCATTTATGGAGTGGCTACTATGTGCTATTTATACACATCACCTCTTCTAATCCAGTAAAAATCTATTTCCTCTAGCTGGTTTCAGAGAAGTCTAGTAACTCACCCAAGGCCACACAGTAACATCTTACATAACCAGCACGGAACCCAGCTCATCTGCCTCAGAAGCCCAAATCCACAGCTCACACAAGGGAGCCTACAGGCCCTCACAGGTGTGAGGCAGAAGCTGCCCTCTTTCTGATTTAGACTGTTGGTGGAAGAACTATGTTCTCTACTCTGAGATTTAGATTAAAATATGAATATTGATATCAAGCCAGCAGCCTCTATGATTGAGGCAGCCGCTTATTTCAGTGTCTGCAGACAGGGAGCTGACAGTTGTATGATAAGGTGTGAAAATGTCTGTTCTACAAGAGTCTACCTGGCTCTCCCTGCACCTCATGTGCTTGCTCTCTCCCTTCAATGCGCTCGGACGTGTTTGGCCAGAAACTCAAGCCAACTGTGAATTTGCTCCTTTCAATCATGGAGACTCTAAACAAGCTCAATTTGTCTTTTAAAGATCAAAGGTTTAAAAGCTCTACAAAGGGCTGTGAAATGAGCCCATTTAGTTACAACATTTTGGTACTAAAGAAAAAAGATAAAATTTTAGGAGTTCTTCAAGAGGCACAAAATTATATTCTTATATGAGTATCTTAATGTTTCCTGCAGGTGAGGAGCAAGTGCGTGCAGGGCATCCTCATGCTGGCCTGGCACAGAGCAGCAGTGGAATATACTTTGTCAACATTCTTCTGCAAGCCAGCTCCGTCAGGGACATGTTCCAAGAGAGTGCCACATCCTCCCTTCAAAAGCGGAGGCTGGGTAGCATCCTTGCCATTTCTTCTTCTTCCTAATTTTGAACAAGTCAGACTTCAAAGGAGGCCAACCTATAGCAGAACTTGACCACTTCGCTCCATTTACCCAGAGAAATATGTCTCCATCTTTCTTTTTTTGTTGTTGCTGGGCTGAAGCAGAGCAGGTGTGGAATAAAGCCACACTATAAGATCTATGAACAATTATTTGCCAATGGTCACACAGATAGCCTGAAAGCTTCTCTTTCAGAGGCTTTGAAATCTGCAGCACAAATGAACAAGGGACAGAGAAGGGGCCCTGCTCAGTCATATTAGAGATGGACCCGCCACATACCATAATGACCTCTCCACAGGTCGGCCCTACATTTTCTATTTGCAATTCAAACCCAAGGCAAGAGCAGAGAGGGCAAGATTGGGTTCTTGATTATATCTGGGAGGTCACCATTGCTATGCAGAGAAAGAGGAGGCCAGGTGGCAACCCAGTATATTTGAAAATTGGATCTTTGTTGGGAACTGCCTCAATTTCATAGCAAAACCAAAACTTGAGATGTCTGTATCCAACGCATCTAGGGAGCCACATAGATAGGTTCCATGTAAAGGGGAGGGGGCAAAGGGAAAGGGAAGAAAAAAGCCAAGGAAATATTTTCCACTGTAGTGAGAGAGGTCAGGCAAAGCCAAATCCTAAATTAGTTCAAGAAAAGGAACTGGGGAGCGCCGGAGACCCAGGGCCTGCATGTACTGAACAATACTAGAGTTTCAATTACAAAACAGCTCTTCTAAGAACAACTGCAAAATATCAAGTCTGTGGAAATCTGTAAGACCGAAGGGGGGAAAAGTGAAAATTGAAAAGGGTGCACTAATAGATCTGTCAACAGTCCAATGGTGACAAGCCACATTTCTATAAAATGCCTTCACCGTTTGTGTCACCTGAAATGTACTGACACTCTATAGAACATTATCTCCTGAAGCTATTCTTGAAAAGACTGGCAGGGGGAAGAGGAGGGGAGGGAAAAAAATAGGCTTTAGGTACTGTCAAGGAGCGTAAAGGGAGGTGGTGTGGAAGGAACACGATCTAGATTGTTTAAATGAACCTCTGAATGAACACATTTAAAAAGCTGGGCTCCATAGCTGTTGCAGAAGGGATATGTATCATAGGAAGGGGGTTTCCTGAAGGCCAGGCGCCTGGATATATAAGGTGGTGTCTCAGGCTTCATGGTCTGCCGAAAGTAAATGTGACCCATGAAGGCACGTGTGTCCAGTGTCTTCAGGGGGACCCCACCTTTGCTTACTTTAGGTGACATTCTAACCAACCAGAGTCTATTATCTAGCCATAGATGAGGGAAACTCCCCTGCCTGCCACTTTGTATCTGCAATCCAAGTCAGCTCTCTGTGACTGGGATAGGAGATAAAAAAATATATTTAGGGACTCTAATAACATCTAAGAAAAGAACCCCACCTGCCAGCCTCTGGCAGGGTGCAAAGACTACAGTCAAGGGCTACCTGGATTTACATTAGAGGATCTGTATTTCAGGATGTGGATCTCAGCTCTTTTAAGAAGTCACTGTCAGCTGAAACTAAGAATTTAAATGCTTAGTCAGAGCAAATTATTTTCCAATTAAAAGAAAGGAATCAATTCCTTTGACCATTTCAAGTTAATTAGAGGTCCTTTCTGACTTCATAGAATTGAAACTGCTTTCAATTAAAAAAAGAAACAACAAACTGCAGAGCTAGACAAAGGCCCTGATTAGAATGGTACATTTGGGGGCGCGGGGATAAGAAGCAAGTGACACCACACACCTTTTAGAAAACCAAACACTTGTTTTAGGGAGGCAGCACGAAGCACTGCAGTGGTAAGTGCCCAGATGATGGGAGTCATGGGCTTGGAATCTAATCCTGTCTCTGCTGGGCTCACACTCTGTGACCTTGGGCAGGTCATGTTACTTCCAAAACACAGTCTCTTAATTTATGAAATGGGAATAATATTGTACAGAGTTGTTAAGGATTAAATGTTAAAGCTCCTAGCCTGAACCATCCTTAAGAAGTGCTTAGCACAGGATAGTAACAATAATCACCACGATCATGCTGCAATAGTGTCAACATGCCTACTGTGTCACTGTAACCTAATGATACACACCTAGAGATTCAGACTAGGGGACTCTCAGAAAGTGTGTAGCAAGGGTGACTTCACACAGTTTTAGCAACAGTCTATGAAGACACACTGCTCAAACATAAACTGCTGGCCTTCTCTCCTTTAATCCACCATGGTGGGAGAGCCTGCAGCACCCTCCTCCAGCCCACCTGCCGTGCACACTCTATGTGCCTGCTGGAACCAGGGCAACCTTTTCCCTGGGGCTCCTTCTTGCTTTTCCCTGGGACAGAGGGTACCTGGAGGGATGGGGTGCCAACGTGAGGGTGCCACGCCAACTTCTATAGATGCCTTCAAATCCCAGGCCTAGTGGGGTGGGGAGGGTACAGACCAAAAGTGGCGACTCTGAACTTGCCTGCCTTTGTGGGTTTAAGCCAGAGTCTTAATGTTATTTGAAGACAGTTTTTTGTCTGTGAATATTTATAACAGTGTGAAAACTCCCGGACAGCTGGTAATGCATTTTGAAGTGTGCTAACAACACTGTATCAAACAGCCCTCTATTGATCACATCCTACTTTTTTGTGGCCACGCATTTCATACACGGTGCTTATACATTTTGAATAAGAACTTCAAGTACCTTTTGCTTCAAGCGGTTTTTCACCTCTTTTATTCCCATTTTTGCATGATCTTTTGCCTGCATGAAAAATTAATTTAAGTTAAGATTCCCTTTCTGTTTCCAGCAGGGACTACGCTTGATTTCAGTCCGTCGTGAATCACCTTCTCTGATTACTAGAGAAAGGAAGGAAAAATGGGATCATCAAGTCGAAAACATAATGGCTATGAAAACAAATACAATGGTAAAAGGTTAAAAAAAAATCCCTTAAAGGGGCTGCAGAGATTTTATTTTCTGCATTTTGATGGCACAGATCCCTCCCCGCCTTCTCAAGCCCTTCTTCTGCTCTGTATAATTATTTATCTCAGCAGCCTGGTGACAGCTGCCAGTAAGAGTATAACAGCAGCTTTACGGGCTGCAAGATTCAGAATACCCATTACATCTCAGCAGGACAGGGACTCAGGACCAGTTTTTTGCTCAGGTTGAATGGCCAAAACAGAAACATTGCTGTATTTCTTTGGTGTCATTTCCTAAATCTCATTTTGGTGGACATGCTGGATTTTATTTTATGTCATTTTTAGACCTGTTTGTCCTGTTGGAAACCACTTACCCTGTTTCAAGAACTATAATTTAGGCCGGGTGTGGTGGTGCACGCCTGTAATCCCAGCACTGGGGAGGCTGAGGCAGGAGTACCGCAAGGAGTTTGAGGCCAGTCAGGGCTACATAGTGAGTTCAGGGCCGGCCTGAACTACAAAGGGAGACCCTGCCTCAAAAAACAACAGACAAATAAAAAAAGCAAGAACTACAATTTAAGTACAGAGAGGACTAATGCAATTAAAAATGAAAACAAAACCATTCTACTTCAGTGGCTCAGGGTCAAATTAGTAAGCAAGAGAAATTACAAGAAAAAATACTTGAGGCTTGTAAAAAGATGGATCACTAGGCACTGACAGGGTCTCCTATTGTCACTCTGCGGTGGGCACAAGTCTCACAAATAACGCATTTGCTACAGGGCAATGAGAGAGATGATGAAGATTTAGGACAGAAATTAGTGGGCATTCCCACCACAGCATTCTTCAGTAGACTGCAAAGGAGCTGCTTTACTTTAACATCATAATGGGGACACACACAAGAATGGTTTGTCAGGTCACATTTAGGCCATGCCTCTGGTCTCCAGAATGCATGGACTAGCCTGATGTTTAGCCGCTCAGTCCACATTTGAAAAACTAAAACAGTGGCCTCCCATTTCTTTACTGCAGTAATTATGAGCAGCAACACCTTAAATTAAAAATGTCACTGACCTGGTCATAAAATATCAATGCCAACTAAGTTGAAACGCTGAGACCATTAGAAAACAGTACAGCAGCCCCTGAGTCACCTATGCAATAGAGGATCAGGTGTATTTAAGACACTGGTTGTGCTGAAGAATCAATCTGTTTGGATCCCGAGACCAAGACCGGTACTTACGAACTTGTAGACAGTCTTCATGGCCGGATTGGCCTTTGTTTTTACAGTATTTAGAATTGCTCCGCTTCCTTTCTATAATTAAAAAATGTCAATCAGCAATATGAGCTGAAGATAGAGAAGGGTAGAAACAACAAAAACCTTTTCACTTTACTCAAGTCAGCAACAGTTGAAGGCTGTGGGGTGGAGCAGAGAAGCAGGCCCAGGTGACTACCAGTGCATGGAGTGGTATCTGGGATCGTGGAAGCATCGCTTGGGGTAGGGGTAGGGGTGTGTGTGGCATATGCAGAGTGGAGATGAGGAGCATGAAAAGAAGCTGAGGGAAGACTCTGGGCTCAGTGCTGTGCACAACACCTGCCCCTGTCCCAGGCTGTCTGAGGTAAGGGTTTTCCCATAGTCACTGGTGGCTTTTCAAGAATTTCTAGTTACCACGGACAATGTTCAGGTTGAGCAGCATAAGCATTGACTGTAGCTGACACCAAGCTGGCCAGAAAATGGTGTTCTGATCAACCAGGACAATCTGGAAACACACTACCCTCACTTGGGCAACTTCCTTTCCCCACCTGGAGGAAAGAGATTTTTTAAAAAATCTCTCTGGTAGGCTGCCTTCTTTAACATCTAAATCTTGAGAATAGGAAAGAATGAGTGGCCGTCAATGCCAATCACAGCTGTAGCAGAAATCCTCCACACCCATGTCTGGCTCGTGTTCTGGAAGTGGGGGAGGGAGGTGCAGAGGGAAGATCTTCCACTACCCAAGAGAGACTGTGAAAGCAGCTGAAGGACACCTTTCCAGAGCTGTCTCCAAGCCTGTTCTTCAGTCTCATCCTCGCAGGTGTGTGGTACGGGCTCATATGTTATGCTCTAAGGCCCAGAGTCAAGGGAGGCCTGATTTCTTCCCTGAAAGACTTCTGGCGTGGGGGCTGGGCTCGCCAGCAAAAATAATGCCAGATCAAGTAGTGTGGCTGGGAACAGGGATCATGGAGTCACAGAAGGTAAAGGAAGATCTAACAGAAAGTGACATTTGACCTGATCAATGAAGGATGAGTAGGACTAGGTGTGGGGGACAGGAGGATAAGATATTCTTGGGAAAGAAATAGCACATTAAAAAAAAAACATGGGAGCTGAAAAGCCATGGTATACTCTGGGAGTACCAAGTGGTTATTGTACAGTGCACAGTGTATCATGGGAAAAACAGAAGTGAGGCTGGCAGGTCAGATGGGGACAGATCATGAAGTGCCCAGCATGCCCAGCTAACAGGTCTAAACTCTGGAGGGTTTTGATCAAATGCATTACATAATCAGATTTGTGGTGGTTTGGAAAGTCAATCCTACCGATTCAAGTGGAGAGAGACTAGCAGCATTGGGTATATAACTGCATAAGTGACAGCAATGTAATTATTGGCTTCAACTTTTAGCATGGTTTTTGGTAACTGTTTGCATTAGAAATCTTGAGCTTTAATTAAAAACATTACAGTTTGACCTAGAAAGCATTCTGTGTTGTAGTACAATAGGAAAATTTCACCCACTCATTTATTCCATACTGCCTTCCAAAATTACTCAGTATCCTAGTTAAATGGTCCTTTGGAGTACTGAAACTCCCTTTATCAATCAATCAACAAGTCCTTATTGCTTGTCTCTGATTTGCCAAGTGCTGTGCTTGGCCATAGGAGAACAAAGGAAGTCTTTCATCAAGGAATTGCTTACTCTCGGCCAAATGCAGCCACTTCCAAGGGACCTGCCTTGGCAGCAGTGCACTTGGCCCTGAAGCAGGCAAGAACACTTATCGTATTATGCTGGAGTTGACTATTTATGTGCCTGCCTCCCCAACAGGATGGGGAGCTACCTCAGGGCAGGGCCCGTGTGCTCCTCTGTGCTGTATCCCAACTACCAAGCTAGCATCCAGCATACAGTAGGCCTTCAGCACATACTCAATTATGAGCTAATAAAAGGTAAGCAAGACTTTGAGTTCTTTAAAGTCTTTGGAAGCCTAAGCAACTGGCTCCTGACACAAGAAATTGTTCACACCAACTGCGAGATGAAAAAATTTCTCAGGGATGAGTTCCCCACGTTCCCAGGAACCTTCGCTGTGAAAGATACTATAGAGCAGCAAGAGGGACACACTTTTGTCTTCCCCGTGATGACGTCAAGTGCACTAGCCCTAGAAGGAGAATTCCAGAAGTGCTCTTTGTAGGACAACAACACTCTGCTCACTAGCCTTGGCTGGCTTCTCAGAGAGGAGGATGCCTGTCTTGCTTCTTTCCTCCCTATACCTAGACCGGAGGTAGACCATCCCATCCCTCTAGTCTCTGCCTGGGAGAACGGCCTAGGTTTAAGGCAAAACCATCTTCAGCTGAGAGAATGGAGAGCTTGTGGCAAGCCTCAAGGCAGCTATGTAGGTGTTTGGGGAGCAGGGAACAGCCAAGAAGCTGAGGAGGAGGCCAGGCGACTCTGAATGGGGTGCACTTACCCGGACGGTGGAGAGCCACTGATGGTACAGTTTATCACTGCCTGGGGGAAAGAGAAGTCAGAGCAGTGTGGTTTATTTTTATTTATTTTTTCTCATTAAGTTTACTGGTACATTTTAGGTATATAGTACAGTAACATTCATCATTGGGATCTTGTACCTTTACATGACAGGTCTCGGTTCTCATTTTTTCCCCTTGTCCCTGCCCTCCCTTCACCCACTCCTTCCTTATTTACAAAAACATTATTTCCATTTTTTCATTTTCTCATATTTTTTTCTTTTCCCTTATTTCCTTTCCCCTACCCTTCCCACTTCCCCCACACCTTTAGCCCTTTTCTTCCTATTTCACATTGTCAATTATACATTTGGATCTTATTTACACTTTTAGTTTTTCACACCAGTGAAACTATTCGGTGTTTATACATGCGTGACTTATTTATTTGCCTTAAGAGTATGACCTCAATATGCATCCATTTTCCTACGAATGACTCTAATTTCTCATTCTTATGGCTGAATACTCCTCCATTTTATAGAAAAACCACATCTTATCCAGTCTCCAACTGATGGGCAATCGGGCTGTTTCCAGGTTTTAGCTATTACAAGAGAAGTCAGAGAAGTGCAATTTTAAGAATTCTTTAAATTGCTTTCAGCATCCAGGACTGGGAAAGTTCAGTCAGGAGAATGGCCTGAAGGCTCCCATGGCCACTTCCTGAAGGAGGGAGAAGTGAGTCACAGCCACAGTTTTCTTTCCAGGTTGTTTGTATCAGTGCACTGACAACAAACCCTCCAACTCTCCAAGCTGCCAACTGGAGAGAAGGGAGACTCCTCAGCGGCCCCACCTCATCTCTGCTGCTCAACCATCCACCTCTCTGTCCCGGGCTTCCATTCTACATGGGGTTCTGTTCTGGCTATGAGGTACTATCTGCAGTTCTCAAACCAGTATTCTCTTAGCCCCAGGCTTTTGCAAGTTGGTTCCCTTGCCTGACCGCCATCCCTTACTCTCTCTGCCTAGGAAACTCAATAGACAGCTGAAATGTCATTTCCTCTGGAAGCTTCTTCTCTCCTCTGAAAATCCCTGAGCACAGGCGACACTCACTTAGAAGCTCAGGTTCTGACATACTGTCAGTCATGCTAGGGCGGGAACCACTGGGACTGGGCAACCCAGTGTACATACCCTACTGTACGTACACTCACCCTCCAGGGCACCCAGCCAGTGACAGGGAACAAGAAGGAGGTGCTGTTGTTCATTTCACCTGATACAGGTTAAAGGGTCTTATCACCAGAAAGCTTTTTAAGAAGCCCCAAACTTGGGTTAATAAAGCCTATCTTCTGCTCAGAACTCACACTCTATGGTTGGAATGTGACTCAAGCTCTGCTCCTTTGGAAATTTCTCATAGCATGCAGGAAACATCATGAAAGCCTGATTCCAATGCATAAAAACCTACTCTTTTTCCTATACTATTTTAACCCTTATATCTTTAATTACACATCTTGTAAGGGCTTGTAATATCTAAGTGGAGATTGCGCCTGCTGGTCAGATTACCATATTGGTCCAGCTTGGACATGTGCAGCTATAAGAGGGACTAGCAACATGAGTGTTACCATTTTGCATCCAAAGTCTGGACCTATGAGCATCAGCACTGGTGTCAAAGACTGAACCTATAAGAATCATTACCTTCTCTGTCAAAGATGGAGCTATGGGACCTGGGACTCAGGAGGTGCAACAGATAAGTGACACCTTCTCTGGGCCTCAAATGCTGCCTGATAAACCCCTCCTGTTCCAGAGTCTGGGTGGTCAGTAATGATGTCCACAGTCTAAAGAAACATTTTCTGTGCCAGAAAGTGTACTGAGTGAGTGCACAAAACTTCCCTCCCCACTTTGATTTCATCTTAGCAGGGGTCCTGTGAGGCAGTCATGCCCTCTTAGGGCATAAACAGGAGAACTTCAGCTAAAAGAGAATTAGTGACCTGACCCAGGTCTCACAGCTGGCAAAGAGGAAGGGTCTTGATTTGAATCCAGATCCCCAATGCAGTATCTTGTGTGACTCCGTCTATGCAGAAAAAGCAGCCAGCCCCAAGACAGGGGGTATCACAGAGGCCAATGTGAATCTCATCAAAAATGGAGAGGAATTCCCCAACCATTTCAGGCTAAGTTTGAAATCAGAATCTTCCCAACCCCTGATGAAGGAGGCCACTCCATGTCAGCCATGCCCTAGTCTATAGCAGCCCATAGCCCAAGAGGGAAAAGAGGGGCTTCTCACCAGCATATTCGCCCATGTTGATCTCCTCTTCAAAAACATCGCTGAAACCTTCACCAGAATTGAGAAGGTCTAGTCGCCCATCAATAAACTAGAGAGAGCAAAAGTACATCTTGTCCACACAACAGGGAAAACCATCCAGTTCGGCATCTTGGTGTATGCCCAAGAATAGCCATACTTTCCAAGACAGGAAAGCACCCCTGAAACTCAGTTTTCTAAAAACAAAAAACAAACAAAAAAACACCCACCGATCCATAGCACATTTGCAATGGGCCTATCTGGTGGCTGACCACCCTCCCTGAGCTCTCTAGCTTGGGTTCCCTCCTTGCCAGTAGCCTCAGGCCCTAGGGTGGATACAGCTGCAGAAATCCCGGCAGGGGGCTCCACAGGGAACAGTGAGGGAGGCTTGAGCACCTGCTTGAAAAGCTGTAGCTGTGTGGCATTTTGCAGGAACTGTCTCATGGCTCCAGAGCGATAGTGGGACACGAAGGCTTCCTCGCAGAAGGTGATGGGTTCCTCCTGGGAAATGGAGAAGAGACAGCAGGGTCAGAGGAGTGGAGGGAGAGCCTGGTACTTAACTTCCTTTCAGCAGAGCTTCCACATCTGCTAAATTACTAATTCTAATAATGAGGCCACTGGCATCATCAGAATCATTCTAATCTACAACTGAAGAAGCCATTTCAAGGAGAAAGAGTCAAACCCCAAAGTCACAGAGTGTAAGGAGGCAGAGCAGGCATCCAAGTCAGAGTCCCGAGTCCTCACTCTTCCCCTTCTGTATCAGTGACGGCCACGCCCTGACAGTAAGGCAGTGGTGTGCCTTCTGGTGTGACGATTTCCAAACTTTTCTTTTTTACTTTTAGGAACAGAGCCCTGGGTTCACACAGAACTTCATGCAGAAGGAGCTCTGCTACGCAGGCAGAACTGAGCTCCTCTGCTTGAGCTGAGGGTAGGGAGTGGCAGGCTGGGCTCTCCTTGCTTAGTGGCCCTCTCCTCCCCCGCATCCCCAGGCACCTCTGACCTTCCATGGAACACAGTTTGAAACCCATTTACCCAGTGATCTTAACCTCTACCAAATTATAATATAAAAACAATTATAGGATGATCAAAAATAAAATTTTCCATCTAGTGAATTTTGTGTGTAAGCTATCTGATAAGGAAGTTTGCTTTCACCAACTACATTTTACAAGTCAAGAAGATGATACCCTGTGCTTTAAAAATCCCAGCCTTGTATAGTCAACACCTCAATCTTTCTTTGAACACATTTGGAGTGCTTATCTACGCAGACAAGTCTTTAATTTCAGTGGTGTATTCTCAACTCTGAAAGATCAGACTTTTCTATCTTGAGCTGAATTAAGGGTGCCTCCACCCCCTTCACAGACTTGGTGGCAAACACAGAGATGTTTGAAGTTCCACTTTTATCCTGTTTTAATGAGTTACGTGAGTGTTAAATTTACTGTCTAGCTTCTCCAAGTTCCAACAGTTCCTCCTGTTTCAATCTAGCCAATATTAGCTTGCAACTGGGAAGACTTATTGCACAGGCTGCAAGAATGACCCAAGAATATGTGGGTGGGGAAAAATTTAGTTTCATACAGTTCTGCCCTATCTAATTTTACAAAGCATCTGAGACAACAAAGAAAAATTCAGGCCTGAGAAATACAGAAATATAGAAAACATATTTATCTGGGAATCTAGATATATTGATCCTGCATAGTTTTTAAAATGTAGTTATACATTAGCTATGAGCTTCCAGGTTGCAAAAGCAAGAAGGAAAACAAAAACTTTGTATTGTGTAGGAGAGGAAAAAAAAAAAAAATCCTACTTCCCAGGGAAGAAGGTCTGTTCACGACATTTAGTACAATGGCATGGGTAGCTATCTTGTCACTGAACAGCTGAGCGACCAGATACTGATAACCAACAGGAGTGTAGCTAGAACTCCATTCTTTTTTTTTTTCTTCAGCTTTAATTGAGTTTATTGGTACATTTTAGGGATACAGTACAGTTACATTCATTGTTGGGATCTTGCACCTCTACATGACAAGTCTTGATTCTCATTTTTTCCCCTTACCTCTGCCCTCCCTTCTCCCCCTCCTCCCCTCCCCATCTACAAACACTTTATTTTCATCTTTTCATTCTCTCACATTTTTTTCTTTTCCCTTTTTACTCTTCCCCTACCCATCCCACCTTTCCTACACCTTTAGCTCCTTTCTTCCCATTTCTAAATGTCAGTAATCTTATTAGAATCTTATGCATTGTTGCAGATTATTTACACCAGGGAAACTATTCGGTATTTACACATGTGTGACTTATTTATTTCACTTAGGAGTATATCTTCACTATGTATCCATTTTCCTATGAATGAATCTATTTTCTCGTTCTTTATGGCTGAGTAATATTCCATTTTATAGAAAAACCACAACTTCTATATCCAGTTTCCAACGGATGGGCAAATAGGCTGTTTCCAAGATTTAGCTATTACAAACTGTGCCTCTATAAACATGGGTGCACATACTTCTCTGTGATATGATTCTTTTAGTTCTCTTGGAAAGATACCCAGCAGAGGGATGGCTGGGTCAAATGGAACCTCCAGTCCAAGCTCTTTGAGGTATCTCCATATTGATTTCCATAGTGGTTGCACTAGTCTGCACTCCCACCAACAATGGAGAAGGGTTCCTTTCTCCCCACAACCCCGCCAACATTTGTTATTGTGTGATTTCTTGATAGCAGCCATTCTTGTGGGGTGAGGTGGAATCTCAGTGTTGTTTTCATCTGCATCTCTCGAATGACCAGTGATGTGGAACATTTTTCAAATATTTTCTTGCTGCTTTTACTTCTTTGTCTGAGAAATGTCTGTTCATTTCGGATGCCCATTTTTGAATAGGGTCTTTATATTTGGGGGGACTGATTATTTTGAGTTCTTTATATATCCTTGATAATAGTCCTTTGTCTGAGGTACAGCTGGTAAAAATTTTTTCCCACATTGTAGATTGTCTCTTAGTTCTGCTGATGGTTTCTTTTGAAGTACAGAAGCTTTTTAGTAAGATGAGATCCCAGTTGTTGATTCTATCTGATAGTTCCCGTGCTACTGAGGATATGTTCATAAAGTCTTTTCCTATACCAAAGTCTTCCAGAGTAGAACTCCATTCTTGAGGCCTGGAAGTTCTGCTTCTCACCTTTGGGACCATGGTAGGGCAAGTAATTCTCTCTGTGGGTGATCTCATCCATGCTACAGCATCAATCTTGTACTGGCAACTTCTGATACATACTGTCAGCTCAGATACCTTTCCTTATCTCCAAGCACACAAGTCTCTAGCCCACACCCAAATGGCTCACTGCTACCTCAAACTCAGTTATCTGTGCTTCCAACTATTCTCCATCAGGACTATACCTCAAATCTGCTAGTTGTGCATCCCAGACCTACCAGACTTCCCAAGTCCTTTTCCATTCTGCCTGTGCAGTGTCTCACACATTCATTGTCTGTCCACAACTCATGACCCCAGTGCAAGCCCAGACTCCCACTTCTCCTCTGCATCCTCGCCCTGTCTCATTTTCCCCAGTCTATACCAATTCCTCTGGCCAGAATGAGTGAGTTCTAAGATGCAAACTGGATCCTGTCACCAATCCTACTCAAGAATTCTGATTGCAAAGATTTCATCTTTGTGGTACTTGCATGTCTGTTGTTTCCACTAGGCCAGATGCTCCATGTGGGCAGGAATGGTACCCATTTTGCTCAACAATGCACATCTTACAATGTGTGTGCCGTGCACAAGGTGACCTTTGTGGAACGGGAAAGGACAAGCTCCCTAGCTGGTCAAACCCTTTCCAAGATGACTTTAGTTTTCCTTCCCAAAGTATTTCTGTGTCCCTTTGTCTCTGCTCCTTACACACCATGTTCATTCCTACTTTCGTCCTTCGCCTTCTATTCCTTCTGCCTGGATTGTCCTCCCACTAATCAGGCCTGGGTGTGGCAGTCACTTATCCCTGCTCAGACAGTCTTCCTCAGTGTCCCCTTTGAAGAAGAACTTGGGAGGGCAGGGCCCTGCTGAACTCATCCCTATGCTCCCCAGGGACAGTGTAGAACTCGGCCGACAGTTAGAAACTCAGGGAAGTTAGTTAAGAAATATAGAACGAGCTTGACCCTGGTTCCTGCTGCATGAGCCCTGTGGTCCTGGTGTGGTGGAGACATGCTTGGCCTGACAGTAAAAAGGTTTTGGAAGGTGATACCAGGTGAGTGACAGTTGTGTCCGGAGGGTTTAGGGCTGCTCAAAGGAAGTACTCATTGGAGTTGTTAGCATTCACCCCGGAGCTTTGGCACAGCATTGCAAGGAAGATGTCTGTGGAGAGATGAGTAAATTCAAGAGTCTACAGCCAGATGTGTAGGTAAGGATAGCTTAAGGCAGGACTCAGCCATAGGAGAACAAGAAGAATCTCATCTTTGGTGAGACAGGAAGTTTGGACCTGCATACTTACTGCAGGTGACATCCCCCTGGACCAGGTGTCTATGCCATAAACCTTCAGGAGAATGTGACAAAAGGGGAGTTTTTCTGAAAAAAGCTTAAGCAATAACACCGACGGTGTCACTTACACATGGAAACAAATATTGTTATGCCATGTGGTGTTACTGGAGGCAGTGAGCAAAATGTCCACAGGAGTCAAAACAAAAGGTGAAGCCTTCTGTGCTAGCAGGTCAGACAATATGACAGGAAGTGGACACTTTTTATCAGAGCTTGGAAGGGTGAATGGAAGTTAGGCAAGCAAATCCTGTTGGTTCAAGCCAATTCTTCCCTTCTAAGACAATGAGAACAATCGCTGTGCACTTCATCTTGTCACAGGCTCTGGGGGAGGTGCTGTGATACATACTTCACAATTCTTTTACCAAACCTAAACTTTATAATGGAATATTTTTTAGCCCAAAAAGGGAAGGAAGCAATTATGCTCAAAGTTTACGGAAGAATAACGGAGGTAACTTGGGTGACTTGCCCAAGGAGGCCCAACTTGGAAATGGCAGGGACAGGGTTTAGTCCTTGGTGGCCTCCAAAGTGCGGGTGTTTGCCACCAAGCCTGTGGGCTACTGTAGATGTGGCTTTGCTCTGAAGCCTTGGTTCTAACTGTGGGACCTCTGGCATCTGGTAGAAAGCAGGAGTATTTTCTTTAACAGTGTAGTCCTTTGGGTTACCTGGGACCCTCAACACCAGTCCTCCAGAGACTAATTGCTCCCTGAAGAAAGCAGGCTGCTGTGAAGGCTGTTTCCACCACAGGCCCCAGGCAGGAAGATAGAGCACCCCCCTCCTTTATCCAGCTCCATCCAGTAGTTGGCACGGCCACCCCCACATTACTCTCCAGTGCAGAGAAGCAAAACAAGGTGCCTCCTAATTCCCTCCTTGTGAAGTGCTGATTTAGTCTTCTTACTACACTGATTAAACCTTTTATCTTCTTAGGTGACTCTCTAGATGCCAGGGCTACTGGCTGATGGCAATATTAATTCTAAGAAGTTGGGCCGTGAGCATTTGTGCTTAGGTGGC